ACAAAACCAAACCCATCTACATTGATGGGGTATGTCAAAGGGACACAGAGCCAACTGAAAGATCTCCCAATGGCCAATCTTGAGACAATTTTGAGTAAAAAAATAAAACTGTACTGGATTATAATCCAAAGTATAAAATAAGTATCTACGACTCCATATGAATATAAATAAATGATTGAATAAATACCCAGGTGGGGGAAAGAAGACAAATATCCCTTATGTAAGGATCTCAAATAATTAATGTAGATATTCTGTTCTCAAAAATGGGGAGAATAAATCCCCACTTAAGTGTGAGCATGGTATTGTAACTTCCTGTCAAAGAGTACAGCAGGGAAGGGAGAAAAGAAAAGTCATTTACAGTGGAGAAATCAGGTAATATGTCAGCTAGGTGATCAAGCTCAGTATCAACAAGTGAGCAATCATGTTGATAACATGTACCATAGATATGATGTGGTAAAAATGGCACTTTACTTCTATTCTATGCTCTTCCTCTCCAAATCCTATAATCTCAGTGTAATTATGAAGAAAAAAAAATCAGTCAATAATTCCAATGGAGGGGCAGTCTAACAAATACTTGGATAAAACAATCCTGCAAAATCAAAAACAAGGAAAAGTCAGATAAACTGTTGTATCCAAGAGGACCCTCAGGAGACATGACAAGTTAATGTAATGTGGTATCTTGAGTGGGATCCTGGAACAGAAAAAGACATCAGGTAAAAACTAAGGAAATGGCTGTAAGCTATGGACATTATTTATTAATAACAGTATGTCATTAATTATAACAAATGTAGCAGCCAAATGTAAGATGCTAATCATAGGCAAAACTGGGTGCAGGGAATATGGGAACTCTCTACTATCCTCTCAATTTTTCTGTAAATCTAAAAGCTCTCTAAAAAATAAGTATTTTTAAAAAGTACCTTAATGACTAGCACTATAGATACACAATTAATTATAAAGACAGTCGAAATTGTTGACTACATCAGAATAAACCCTTAATTCCTTCTAATTCAGAAAAGTCACTTGCAATAAAACACCATGAACATTCTACAATTCAGCATCATTAAGTAGTCTATATACTTTTAAACATAAAGTTTAACAATGGTTTTTCAACCTACCATTTTTTTCTCCCATCTTCTGGCGTCGTTTATTAAAATACAACTCTTCAAAATTAACTTTATCAAAGGGCTGAATCACTTTGAAGAATATAACTTGATTGAAGAATATAACTGGAATCCAACCTTGGTCTCTATGAAATTTGCAATCCTCTGAGAAAAGACATCATTCTACCATTCTAAACCCAATATTTTTTGATACTTGAATTTTCAAATAGAAATTGTGGTTGAAGAAATTTTCAGAATTGACTAGTCCAACATAATGACAAGTCCATGAATCTTCATCAATTAAGTATTTATAGTTGTATCAGATCACTAACAATATCTTATTAAAAATAAAAACCAACTCCATCTTTTGGTCCGCGAAAGCATGAAACATTCTGTAAAATAAACAGATAAATAAATAAATAAATAAATGAATAAAAGAACGGTTCATATTTGTAAAAATAAAATATATAAGAATGAAGAAGAGGTTGTCATATAACAATAGCTCTATTTTTTAAAACAGCATGATTATGAAAAAAGAATACTTATTAATTGGAAAAAATGTACAAAATATCAGAATTAGGAAAATTACAGAGAAATTAAGACTCAGTCATATTTAATATATTTTTAAAGATTTTTTTTTTTAATTGGAGAATGGGGGATGGGAACAGTGCTCGGGAATTGGGGGAAGGGGAACAGACAAGTTGCTGTCCTTTTGTTCTTCAGTCTAGTTGTGGAGGACGTTGCTTCACTGGCCCAAGTTNGCTGTTGCTCAGAGCTCAAACTCTTGAGCGAGCTCTTAACCAACTGAGCCACTCTTGAGCGAGCTCTTAACCAACTGAGCCACTCAGCCGGCCCTGCTATGGAAACTTTAACCACAGTAATATTCAGTAAGACAACAGGTAACCTATCAGATAAATGAGATTAACAGATTCAGTTAATAACTTTTTGAACAAAGACACTAAATGAGTATCATAAGAAGAAACATTTGAGTGACTTTCAACTATAGACTGCATACAAAGATTACTACAATCTAAACAATGTTAGTTTCTTGCTCCTTTACTTCTTTGCCCATTGTATGCATGCTGAGTTATAATCTAAGACTGTAAATACTTCGGTATATTTCACTAGAAGATGTTACAAGGAATATAGGAGCAGGCACTGGGATCAAAAATCAAATTAGTATACTAATATTGCTGCTACTTGCCTCCAGAAATGAAGAGTGCTATCTAATAAGTACTGTCTGTCCAAACTTGCTCCCTTAGCTAGATATAACTATTTATTGCAAGAACATAATCATAAAGAAATATAGCAGTTTGTAAAGAAAGAAGACAAATTATAGTTATTTTATATGTCTCTCAATCTCACTTGAGATAGACCATCTTTGTAAATAGACAATGCTCATGAATCACATTGATCTGAATTCATTTACTAGATGAATATTTATGGAGTACTTACCTAATACATTGATAATGACCTAGGTATACAGAAATACATGTATATTTCTTTTAAAAAATTATAGACCTTTATCTCCCTTGAGGAGCCTCAGGGCATGGGTCTAGAGGATCTTGAAGACATCTCTGAGCCTGTGACCAATCAGCAAAGCGTGGTCTATGAACTCTGGAGGTTCCCCAAATCTTTTCAGAGAATATGCTAGGTCAAACTATTTTAACAGTAAAACTAAGACATTATTTGTCTTTTTATCCTGCATTCACATTGATGGTACAAAAGTACTGGTGTGTAAAAGTGGTGTAGCTTAAACCAAGGCAGGGGCATCAAACGATAGGGAAATCATTGTATTCTTCACCATCAATTTCACCTATGGATGTCCTTGATAAAACAACCTTAAAGATTACCACAGTATAATGGCTGTCTCAAGAAAACGCACTAGTGAGAATGTTTGAATTATAAGTTAAATTAGCTGCTTTGTTTTTTCATGGAAAATCATCTTTATTTAAAAGAACCACTAATAAAAATTATGGGTTTTCAGATTTGTATGTTTGGCACACATTTTCTTGAAAATGAATGAAGCGAGACTATCATTTGAAGGACAAAACTGACAGCATTTGTTGCTAATAATAAAATTCAAGCAACCAAGGTGAAATGGGAAATTTGGAAACCTTGCATTCTGCTATGGTAAGCTTGACAGCTTCTCAATAATTAATCAATCTTTGATGAGATTGGTAGCAATATTAACAAATGTGATTTTTAAATAGTGTATGATATAATATGTAAATATTTGAAAAAATCTGCATAATTCACTGAACCAATATTTTCTAGGTGGCCAATGCATGATGTTATAAAATCACACATGTGTAAAATACCTATTCAAAGTGCACAACAGACCAATGAATTTTAATGTAACAGTAAAAAAAATCTCACTGATGTGCCATCAGATGCCACACTATAACTAACTTTGAAGGAATGACTACTTGTTGAATTCTGTAGTTGTAGCAAAGAACAATACCCACAATTATCTGAAAGGCTATTAAAATATTCTTCCTTTTTCCAATTTCTTGTCTGTGTGAAGCTTCATTTTCTTTATATATTTCAGCCAACGCAACATATTACAACAGATTGAATGCATAAGTAGATATGAGAATCTGTCTTCTATTAAGACAACTATTAAAGAGATTTGTAAAAATGTAAAACATTTGGTCTCACTCACATAAAAAAAATGGTCTCATTCATTGTTTTAGAAAATAGTTATTTCTCACAAAAATGTAATTTATGTTAACATGTTGGGTTTACTACTTTTTTTTTAAATAAGCCAATAACATTTTTGAAGCTTCTCAGTTTCAATTTCTAATACAGTAAATATGAACATATATTATTCACATAAACAAAAGCTGTTAGGGGTTTTAAGTACTTTAAAGAGTATAAAGCAGTCAAAACCAAAAGGAAGTTTGAAAACCACTGGCCTGGATAACAGTCCAGTGAAATCAGTACTATGATCTGTATAATAACCCATATATTACAAATACATTAAAGGGCATTAAAGTTATTCTGTACAATATTATAATGGTAGATCCATGACATTATGCATTTGTCAAAACCCTAAAAACTTTAAAGCACAAAGAGTAAACCATAATGTATGCAAATTTCAAAGTATCATTTCAGAGGTCAGGGGTCCCAGGAGGAATGCAGACTGTGACAAGAGAATGTGCCTATATTAAAAATGTATACACAATCTCGCTGAAGGGCTAGGTGGAAAAGGTATTGACCTAAATAACTTTGGAAATAAGTGGAGCCTATAAGACTAAAGGTAAAAGGAACTGTGCACAAGCACTGTAATTTCCCACCTGAGAATAAATTTACATTTCTGATACTGCTATACATATACCAGCATACCTCATTTTATTGCGCTTCTTTTTATGGTGCTTCACAGATGTTACATTACAAATTGAAGGCAAGACCCTCCATCAGCAAAAAACTTACAACTTGCTTTGATACTTGCTTTATTGTGGTGGTCTGGAACTGGACCCACAATATCTCCGAGGCATGCCTGTATACTGGAATTGAGCAATTAAGTAAATGGATAACAGATGGTGGAAGCCACATTTCTCACTGCTGGAGTGAGAGGTTTATAGATAAGCAAGGAGAGCAGGCTAGAATGATCCATGTGGTAATGGANAGGTAGCAGGATGGCTCAGCTAAAAAAAAAAAAAAAGCTGCAAAGTAAGCACCTTCACCCACTTTCACAAAATATTCATGGTATGGTAAAAGCAAGTGTTTATAGAAACAGAGCATGCACACAAAAAAAGCAAACAGTACTGATGTCAGATTCTTAGGAAACAAAGAAATTATTTGACTTTTAAAACTATACTGGAAATAGAATTATACTGCAAGTCAGTTAGGTTACATTTAGCATTAAATGTACTGAAAGTTTTTATTGCTTCATACCTTTATTCGTGGCAGACCCATCTTTGATCTTTTGTTTCAGTGACTGCAGCACATTTTGCACTTGCTCAAATATCATGTCCACCTTTCCATTATCTTCCAGCTCCATCCAGAAAGTCTTTGCATCACCTAAAATATAAATCAGTGAGTAGCATAGGATCGCAACAGAAACAGACTAGTTCCCCTACAGTACATATTATAGGAAATCCACTGGTTTCTAAATAAAATCAAGATTTAATTGGTCTTTCACTTCTTTTGAGGAAAAAGGTTTTGGCCATTGTTTCTTGAATATGACCTATCTCACTTATTTCAGCTAATTTAAAAAACATGTTGAAAACTTTAGTGACACTATTTCTTAGCTGGAAAACAGAAGGAATGATCTCACTGTAGCATGGGAGTAACGTATATATAGACACACATTCATTTTAAAAGTTTTAGGAATATAACTTGCACTAAGTATGGAAGTGGATGGTTTTAGAATGAAACATTTCAACAACTGCTGAAATAAACATCCAAAATTAATGCTTTCTAAAATGTCTTCTATATTAACTTTTAAATAATTAGATTAAACATAATAATGTTTAAATTTTTTCGTTATATAGATGAGCCAACATTTCAGATGCCCACCAAGCTAACACCTTAAAAACTTCCTACAGAAATAATCCTTTCAAAGCTAAAAACAGATAATGTGAGAACGATAATTAAAATAAATTGGCAAAAGCCAAATCTCACACACCAACCAGGTTTAAAAGTAACAAAAATATCTAAAATGTTAAACACACTTTATAAAATGTTAAAATGTATAAAATGTTTAAAATTAACTAACAGGAACGTAAACAAAGGAGGGACATAATAACTGCACTTTAGAAAGGTCACTTGAGAAGTCATTAGGAGAATTAATAAGCAGAGAGCCCGGTAAGTTTACAAAAAATATTTTCCTTAATAAAAATTAAACCCAGAACCTGTAAGTTTGGCAATGGAGTGAGACTCTTTGTAAGAGGCTTAGGCCTCAAAGTCCCAACTCTCCCAGGCAAAGTCACCTTACCCAAAAGGGATCTCTGGCTAATTAGGGTGCTGCCACCAAAGCAGCCTCAGGAGAGGTGCTGTTTCCCTATTACCATTCTGGCTGATGTATACTACACAAGCCTAAGCCAACTTTTAATTCCCCATAGCACAGCTCAGACAAGACTTCAGCATTTGAAACAAATGCAATGTGAGGACAAAAGGGATGACAAATAATGCTTTAGAGGTAGGTAGGGGCCATGACATCGAGGGCCTTGTGTGACATGCTAAGCAACTTCATTTTTAAATGGAAGGCGATGGGGAGCCACTCAAGAGGTTTAAGCATCTTATGTAATTAGAATTGTTTCTTAGACCACTCATCTGGCAGCAAAATGGGGGAGGATTCAAGAATGATTTCAAAGTTTCTGACTCAGGCAACCATATGTATAGGAATGGTATGCATTGAGCTAGGGAATAAAGGTAGAGGCACATATGAGAAATTCAAGTAAGGCAGTAAACTAAACACAGTTTCCAGAGTAAGATCGGGTCCGGATATACAAACTTTGGAGACGATAGCCCACAAGTGCTTGCTGAAGTCACAGAGTAGACGTAATTAGAATGTGTAGAAAATAAGAAGGTCTTCTGTAGAATATCAACATGTAAGGATGAGCACAAGAAAAAGGAGTCATGGGGACAGCAGCACACAGGTGGAAGAAAACCCCAGGAGGAGCAGCATCTCAGGAATCAATAGAATAACAGGAGTGGTAATTAACACTTTGGGCTTTGGAGTTCAGATGCATTTGGGTTTGAAACCCAGCGTTGCCACTTATTAGCTGTGTGACCACACCTATAAAATTGGAATAATAGCATCTACCTCAGTGCGGGTACACAGATAAGCATGTGGCAGTTAGCAAGAAATTACTGTATGCAATTTACCAAAAGGAATTACTCCTTAATTGTGGAATTTTAGAGATCAGCTAAGTGGGAAAACATTTTGTGAAGCAGGGCTTTCCCAGAATCCTTAAAATCATTATGTTTTTCACTGACAGGTAACCAACAAAAATCATTGCTTATAGGGAAAACTATTTGTCAATAGTTTGGAACTTAATTGATTACTGTTACCATTTGTTTTCATGAATATGAGCCAATACTTCATACTAGAGATTTATCTTTATTTGAGGTTGACATCTAGACAGGAAGGATTTTGAAAGGTATTTAGAAATAGCTTTTTGTAGCATTATAAACTTCTGGAATCATACACAACTCTCTCCTGGCTTGAGAAAATAAGCATTGATGCTGAAAGACAGCAATCGGGACTTTAAATGAATTTTTATTTTACAGTGACTATATTTAAAACTGTGTTAGAAATATCAGTACATGACACCAAATTATTCTGATAGGAAACACTTATAACAAATTATTTAGAAAGCCTTGGAATGAATTAATAAAGAGGACACTGGCAATATAAGAAAATAAAGCCAATCAGAAAACACTGAAAAACTATCTGCTTGCAGAATAAATGAAT